TCTCCCCGTGTCTGCGCTGGCACATCCCTGAGTCACGCTCTCGCTCCTCTCCTTCAAAGTCCACATTCCTAAATAATGAAAATTGGGGAGAAGGAGAAGAGAAAAAGAGCGAGAGCATCATCAGTGGAAGAGCTGCCGCCTGCTTCTGATTCACCCTTGTTGGTGGGACCACCCCGGCAGAGAGGAGCTGCTTTGCGTGCCACGGTCCTCGCTGCCTGTTCCCAGGGACAGGCCAAAGCACGGGAAAACCACGGGCACGCGCCGTTGCTTGCGGAGGAGCGCCGTCACGCTCACCTGCAATCCTTTACCTCTTTCCTCCCTCGATTCAGCGTGTTTCTGTGTTCGCTGCAAGAGCCTTCCATACGGTTGTTTTTGACATTTCGTTTGAGATGTTGATCTCAGAAGGATCAGTCCTGCAATAAATATTTTACATAATAATCCGTGACGATGGGAACTGATGCCAAGCGCATTAGCACCAGCAAAAGGAACTGGGGGTCCGGGGAATCAAAGCTCAGCACAAGCACAGGAGGTTTGGCTGGATGAGGAATTTTGGGAGGCAAGCCTGAGAGCTGCAGAGCAACACATCAGCAAAGGTTCTTGCTGGTGTTTAGCCCTGGAGTGGGCTCCTAAGCCACTGCTGGTACGGATCATGCTGCACTCCTCATTTTGAAGTATGAGGATCTCCAGCTAACGTGAAGTCCCTGATGATGCAAGTTTTTTGGGGTCAAACACGAGTTGTGCAGTCACTCTGCCTGGGGTGAGAGCCCTGCGACCACCTCCTGCAGCCCTTCTCCCACCAAGCTGACCGCTCGTTTCTATGGGATGCTCAGTAAAGACACAAGCAGAGAAAATGGTGCCAAACACCTTCCCATTAATCTTGCTGGGGGATCCTGGCACTTGGTGGGGCTTTACCTGTCACTGCTTTGCTTTGGGATAGCCAAGTTACTGGTCTTCCCCACTTTTAGCTGAACTGAACTTGCAGCAGCAGCTTCCATCATCTTCTGGGACTCCTGACATAAAAAGGTGGAAATAAGCCTTTGATCAAAGCGGAGATGAACTAAACACTCAGCAAACACGTTGCGTGCTGCCCTCTCCTGCTGACTCCTGGCAGCTTTAGCTGTGAGTGCAGCAGGGTAAAGACCTTTCACTCCAATTGTTTTGGGGGGTAAAAACACCATTATGAACAAATATTTCCATCATCATCACCACCACGATCTTCGTTATAGATGACTCATTTTAAAAATTATACCTTGATTCAAGTGTTAAGCTATGTGCTTATTTAAGGAAAAAAGGTCACGATGTGGAATCCAGGCTATTAGGATCTATTTCTATGGAGTGTGGTCTGCCTCCAACATTTCAAGACAAGATGTGATAGAAAGAGGCCAACAGCCCGAGGGAGATGTCCCACCCCGAGCACCCGGCAAGCTTTACCTCTTCTTCTTTGGCTTCATTTTTGGCATCATCCAGCTTCAACTTCTTGCTTTCTGGCATAAGGTCATCCAGAAAGCTGAGCTCCCGCTTGGAGAAGCAGAAGTCCATCACTTTCCGGACAAACACGAGAGCCAAAACCTTCACAAATAAGAGAGGGAAGATGCGATGGGGCCAGAGACGATGCCGCGTCTCCCTCCAACGCTGAAAACATCCCGCTGCCGAGCGGCACCGGCTCTTACCATCATGGGAAAGATGATGGCAGCGCGGGACACCTTAATGACCCAGAGCAGGACGAGGCAGATCAGCTGGATCACGGTGAAGAGGTGCACCTTTCGCAAGGGGACGTGCCGCAGGTAGATGAAATCCGGCTGGTGTTTTGCCGGCATCCAAAACAGCTTCAAGCGATCAAAGAACTGCAAAATAAAAGTTGCCACCTCAGGACTGCGGGAAGTTGCTGGCCCTGATGAGAGGTGGAAGGAGTTTTCAGGATCTCGCCTGCAATCGGAAATCCTGGATCCCACCACGTTCCTCCTGGGAGCAGCGCCCATTTTCCCTTCGCTCCATCTATAAGCCAGCTTGCCCACGAGAGCTGCCCACCAAATTCCAATTATTCCACGTTACTCTGTTATTAGCATTTCTCGGCCCACTGAATCCCCCAGCACGGATTCCCACCAGTGGTAGAAATTGCCTTCCCTGTGCACCGAGTCCCCCAGCTGCACGTACCCAAACGCCGACCTGCCCGAAACCATGAAACATGGAGCGCTCAACTGGCCCGATCCTTCCCGCCCTGTATCCATCCTGTGCCTCCACCAATCTGTCTCTTACACGAAGAATTTTCCCTGCTTCCTTTCAGACAGCTTTTTCCCATCCCACTGCTCTTTTCCTGCTCTCACAGCCGAAATAGCAGGCACCCAACGTGCTGCAGGCTGGAAGAGTCCGTACCTGAATGCCTCTGAGCGACGACACACCCATGTAGAGAAAGACACCATAAAGCACAGGCATTGGTATGAACTGGGGGAAAAAAAAATATCTTGTTTTTTTAAGTGACATTTTCAGTACTACCACTCTCTTCTACAGGCACTGCTTAAAATTGCCTAAAGCTTTCCAGTTTCCACAGGGTTAGAGACGTGTGGGATTTTAGCCATTAGGGATTTTATGCGTGTGTGTGTTTAGCTACTGGGAAGGGCTGCTGCGAGGCATCTGGGGGAGTAAATTGCAACTGGTAACGTGCTGCCTGTTTGAAAGAGAGCAGATGTCCTGGTCGAACACGCAGAATTGAAACCCATAAACACAGTGGGGCCTGGAAGACACCTGCAAATTAAAGCATTTGTCTTCCTTGCTTGCCTCGAGCCCACCAAACGGGGCTCAGAAGGGCTGGAAAGCGTAACCAAGGCCGGTTCCCACCGTGGGTCAAGGCCCGAGGTTTGGGATCTCCTACTCCTCTGTTCCACAACTACTCAGACCTGGAGAGAGGGGTCTAGTTCTATATAACCTCCCAAAAGCTTGTGGTTGTTGGGTGTTTTGCCTTTTTCTCTTACCTTTAACACAGCAGTGAAGAAGACGGAGCAGCCCATGAGCACAAAGATCATCAAGCCGGTGACTCTCTGCTCTCGTATCCCCAGAAACTTGGGTTGTTCTCCTGGAGCTGAGCAGTCAGACTCTACTTTGAGGCTGTTCACGTGGGTGATGGACAGGATGGTCGCAGCCACAAACCAGGGCTCATCCGGGAGCACCCCCCAAGCATCAGGGCCACCATGAAAAGGTCCAGGTGGTACCCGCATCCTTTCTGTGGGGAGCAAAAAACAAGAATCAGAGCATCCCACAGCACAAGAGCAAGGACAACATCACGAGCCAGACGCAAACCCTACTTGAGCTCAGGTCAACTTCTTCAAAACTCAAGTATAGGAAACAAATGAGGACGTATCCAGTCTTTGTGCAAGCACCTTGCATGAAAATCTGGCAGCAGATCAGACAAAGTGGATTTCCAGAGCTTGCGCGAAATCTAATTCTCAAGAAAAAACAAATCCACAAATAAAAGGAGGACAATTGACAGGTGAATGTCTACCCCTGGCAAGTAAGACGGGACTCAGTCATCCCTGGCAGCGCATCAAAATGATTCCTTCTCCCACCAAAGTGCACTTCTACATTGCTCAAAGATTCATTTGCTGCTCCAAGAGATCGCTCAGCTCAGCTGTCCTGGTGTTTGCTCCCTGTGCCATCATTAATCCAGGGGATCATCCCGCCACACAGACTGACGTTGTCCCAAACCAATGTCTTCCCAAAGCATTTGGAATAGGAGCTTATCCTCATACTGGCAGCCTGGAGTGGGCTGGGGGTGGGGTCATCTCTTGCAGCCCCTTACCTTCAGCCTGTGCTCCTTCCTGTTCACAATAACAGCACTGATCTGCTGGTCCATGAATATTAAGATGGTGCAGAGCAGAGCTGGGATGAGCGCAGCCAACACCGTCCACCAAGGGTTGG